CTACAGAGGGATGAAATCATCAAAATGATGTCATGAAGTTCTGAGCACCTACAGAGGGATGAACTCATCAAAATGATGTCATGAAGTTCTGAGCACCTACAGAGGGATTAACTCATCAAAATGATGTCATGAAGTTCTGAGCACCTACAGAGGAATGAACTCATCACAATGTTGTCATGAAGTTCTGAGCACCTACAGAGGAATGAACTCATCACAATGTTGTCATGAAGTTCTGAGCACCTACAGAGGGATGAACTCATCAAAATGTCGTCATGAAGTTCTGAGCACCTACAGAGGGATGAACTCATCAAAATGTCGTCATGAAGTTCTGAGCACCTACAGAGGGATGAACTCATCAAAATGATGTCATGAAGTTCTGAGCACCTACAGAGGGATTAACTCATCAAAATGATGTCATGAAGTTCTGAGCACCTACAGAGGGATTAACTCATCAAAATGATGTCATGAAGTTCTGAGCACCTACAGAGGGATTAACTCATCAAAATGTCGTCATGAAGTTCTGAGCACCGACACAAGGGGGGGGGGGTGATGAATGGAAAAAAGCAACCCACCTGATCATAAACAAAGGTATGTCAAGGTCAGACATGATGGATGTACCAGGTATGTAGTATGTTCTCAATGATCAGACATCATGGATGTACCAGGTATGTAGTATGCTCTCAATGATCAGACATCTTGGATGTACCAGGTATGTAGTATGATCTCAATGATCAGACATCATGGATGTACCAGGTATGTAGTATGTTCTCAATGATCAGACATCTTGGATGTACCAGGTATGTAGTATGTTCTCAATGATCAGACATCATGGATGTACCAGGTATGTAGTATGATCTCAATGATCAGACATCATGGATGTACCAGGTATGTAGTATGATCTCAATGATCAGACATCTTGGATGTACCAGGTATGTAGTATGTTCTCAATGATCAGACATCATGGATGTACCAGGTATGTAGTATGATCTCAATGATCAGACATCATGGATGTACCAGGTATGTAGTATGTTCTCAATGATCAGACATCTTGGATGTACCAGGTATGTAGTATGTTCTCAATGATCAGACATCATGGATGTACCAGGTATGTAGTATGATCTCAATGATCAGACATCATGGATGTACCAGGTATGTAGTATGATCTCAATGATCAGACATCTTGGATGTACCAGGTATGTAGTATGTTCTCAATGATCAGACATCATGGATGTACCAGGTATGTAGTATGTTCTCAATGATCAGACATCATGGATGTACCAGGTATGTAGTATGATCTCAATGATCAGACATCTCGGATGTACCAGGTATGTAGTATGTTTTCAATGATCAGACATCATGGATGTACCAGGTATGTAGTATGATCTCAATGATTAGACATCTTGGATGTACCAGGTATGTAGTATGATCTCAATGATTAGACATCTTGGATGTACCAGGTATGTAGTATGATCTCAATGATCAGACATCTTGGATGTACCAGGTATGTAGTATGATCTCAATGATCAGGCATCATGGATGTACCAGGTATGTAGTTTGATCTCAATGGACAGACATCATGGATGTACAGATATGAAGGATGTTCTCAGTGACCATGCATTATAGTATAGTAGTACTAGGTATGTAGGGTGTTGTCATTGATCATGCATGTCTAATAGTTTACATAAAGTTTGTAAACTGGGATCAGCAGGACGCCTTGGATATGAAATTCTGGACATGACCCCACCACCATAACATTTTGGACATTACCCCCAAGCACCTGAAATCCTAGACAAAACCCCATGGACATGACATTCTGGACATGATCCCCATGGACATGACATTCTGGACATGACTCCCATGGACATGACATTCTGGACTATACTCCATGGACATGACATTCTGGACTTCATCCCATGGACATGACATCCTGGACATGACCTCATGCATGACATCCTGGAAATGACCCCCATGGACATGACATTCTGGATATGACCCCATGGACATGACATTCTGGACATGACCCCATAGACATGACATTCTTGACATATTCCCATGCATATGACATCCTTGAAATGACCCCATGGGCATGACTTTAAGGACATTCTGGACATGAACCCATGGACAAAACATTCTGGACATGAACCCATGGACATGACATTCTGGACATGAACCCATGGACATGACATTCTGGACAGAACTCCTTGGGTTCAGAAAAATACTTTCACTTTCAGAGGCCTGAAAAATAATATAAAAAAACTTCTATCAATATCCAGTTATAATGTTGGGCCAACAGATATTAATCCAAGAGTAGTTAGTGGTGGCTCCACACACAAAAATCTGACCAGTTTAAGAAGATGAAAAAAAAAGAAGAAATAATCCATTAATTGGTATCATTTTCAGCTGATAAAATATCTTTTATGGTATACAATTGTAACAAGTACAGTTTGACTTAACTTTATGTTCAAGCACTTGCCATTCATACCCCATAATTCCCTGGCCAATGCAACGAAAGTCTTCACTTTCCAAGGAAGTGTCAATCATTTTTACGACTTTTTGTCCACCATAATTTAGCCTTGATGCCACCGAAGACTCCATGCATTTGGTGATTTAATGGTTAAATACTTGACATGTTAACAGACACATGTTTCGTGACACCATTCTTTCAGAAGTGACAACACAATGAATAGTACAAGGCACTATCCATAAATACCTCTCTACTCCATGTTGACCATTCAATAAGACTTGAAGGATAACAGAGACGTCCTTTTTAGGTAACAATTTTAATGAACTTTTTTTTTATGAACAAAACAAAAAATTGATCAGATATAAATTACATTCCACAAGGTTTATAATTATGTACAGTGTAACTTACAAACCATATGTAATTATATGTACACAGTGACACTGCCATTCACTGAAACTGCCATTTACTACCGGTATACATGAGTGCATCATATTTATGTGTTTAGACAGAAAAATAAGCTAAGTAAAGGAAAGTTAAACAACTGATTGAGAAAGGAGTGGAACAAACTAAATTTAAATCTACACTGACTAACCAGGCCTAACCCCATATAGCCATGATTAACTGGACCTAACGCCCAGATTGACCCGACTAACCCTTGGCCTAACCCCATATAGCCATGATTAACTGGACCTAACGCCCAGATTGACCCGACTAACCCTTGGCCTAACCCCAGATAAACATGACTAAATGGACCTAACCCCCAGATTGACCTGACTAACCCGTGGCCTAACCCCAGATAACCATGACTAAATAGACCAAACCCCCAGATTAGACTCATTTGTGTCAATTGCCTCAAGCCTTCAAACCCCCAGTGCATGATTCCCTCATAAAGTGGCACTGGAAATCAGTGAAATGTCCTCATCAACACCAGGCACAGAAACATTGCAAATCCCATCTACATGCATAGGAGCCAAAATGATCAATAAATTGATTGTGGGCCCGTAATATATAGAAGAAGAAGATAAATCTGACTAACCCTTGGCCCAACTTTAGGCCTGAACTGACTAACCCCAGGCCTAACCAAACATATTATTATGCTAATTAAGAAGTTTCAGGGTATCACAAGAAAAAATGTCTGGGGACATTACTGACTTACAGTTCATACTGATACCAGGGATATAACTGACTTACAATGAATACCCGAGATATTACTGACTTACAATAAAGTCTTCGGCTTTGACTTGATCCTGACAAGGAAAAATCTGGATGATTGAGATGTGCTTGGTCTTGTGACTGGGAATGGGAAGAGGAGGGGCAAATAAACAATGGGCTCCTCTATGGACACCTTGACACATCTGGTGATGCAAAGCATTATGCAAGAAAGACTTCGGCATCAACAAACATAGGTAGTGGAAACTGAGAGGCACTCTCTAAGTACAAGGATAGTTGGCCACACGCAGGCTGCAGGGAGATACAATAACCAGACAACTTATAAAAAGGGACGCTGTATTGATGTGGCATGAGCCTTACAGATTCCCCAATTCCTTGTTCAAGCACATCTAACAACTTTATTATAAAGAAAAATCTGGGCAGGTGTTTTTAGCCTCATTGTTGAGTCGCACCACTTTCATTTTTGCGCCACATCAGCCTTAACATTACCCCACCAGATCCGATTGTTAAAGTAAATAATCTAAATTGTTTTTAAAAAAAAGGTGCACCGGTATCACTACAGATTACATATCTCAAATTTGAACTACCATAACATAGGTTAGTCTATATATTATTTTTTTTTTTTAATTTGTAAAAAAAAATTTTTTTTGACATTGTACCGCGCTTCGAGCCTTTGGGGATGAAGCGTGTTTTTGAAATAAACTTTATTATTATTATTTTAAAAATTTCAATGCAACACATCTTAAAATGACCGCCATTTACAAAGTAAAATGACAACTTGCAGTAATGAGTAACACAGTTACAGGTCAAACTTGATCAGCCTTGTAAAATAAAATTATAGCACTATTTGTAACATTAAATATTTTAAAAAAAAAGAAAACTGTGTAGAGTGGTCCACCGACTAATGCTTTCAAAAGGATTTTCCTCCTTTTTCTTGTTTCTTTCACAAAAGTCCATCCACTTGGTTAGCTACTGTATTAAAAACTTGTAGAGCTATAGACTAAAATTAAGCTCCATTTTATTTCAAAATGCTACCAACTTAGTGAGAGCAACTTTTAAGTATGACTCCAGACCTGTTTACTCTTACGATTTTGGCGTACAATGTATGATTTTGATGTATAAACATTATATATACTGTATGTTTATTTTATACTATAAATATAAGGTACTGAACAATTATGTGATGATATTGTACGATTTTAAAAGTTTGATAGTAAACAGGTCTGTGACTCCCACACTAGCTTATCACAGGGTAAACTCTGTAACCCCCCACCCCCCCCCCCATCTCTCTCCCCCAGTTCTAAGTCAAGACCATCTTATGGTAAAACAGTATGTAAGGAGTCCCCATCAGTGCCCCATCCCTCTCCTCCAGTTCTAAGTCAAGACCATCTTATGGTAAAACAGTATGTAAGGAGTCCCCATCAGTGCCCCATCCCTCTCCTCCAGTTCTAAGTCAAGACCATCTTATGGTAAAACAGTATATAAGGAGTCCCCATCAGTGCCCCATCCCTCTCCTCCAGTTTCTCCATGAACTCCTCCTCCTCCAGCACCCTGATGCACTCGTCATCACACTCCAACCAGAAACAGTCCCAACCCGCCTGACTTGACAGATCGTTTGCACCAGGACTCTGCGTGTCCCTGCTGTTGGAGACCCCCTTGAGTTGTTCGGCAGAGCTGGTCTCACCAGACCCACTGGACAAGAGCGCATCACTCTCCTCAAGTTTCACTTCCTGCTTCCGCTCATTTTTAATGTGTTTGTTGAAGTTAGCGTTGGTCCGTCTGGGCGAGTGGCTGGTGGTGTCTGTCTCAGGCGGATGAATTTTAGAGTCGGGTAGGACTCCCTGGACATCACCCATGACAGGTTCAGATTTGAGGGTCATCTTGCAAAGGTTGGCGAACACTTCTGGGCTGACAAGAGGCTGGATCTTGACATACGACCTGTAATGGCCGTGCAAGACACTCATGCCAGAATGTGTGACTATCGCAAACAAGGAATACCTGTGGAATAAAACATTGAGGGAACCTCATTAATAACATTTTAACAAAGGAGAGCAACTAGCAGACGACAAAAAAAGGAATTTAGCCGAATTCAATTTTCATTATTTAATAGACAAAGGCCAACCTGTGAGTGGGGTCCGTACAGGTGTTTTTACAATTGTACTGTAAACATGGCAGGTGCTGTGGTATTTCCACTTTGTCATTTAGCTTAGAAACACCACCAAAACGCCTTGAAGAGAAATTGAAAAAAAAGTGGTCATCAGTTTTAAGAACTGAAAAAGTAGATGCCAAGGGCAAGCTCTGACACAGACTCATTTACACTCATACACATAAACAAATAGTTCACCAAGTGGATCCTGCTGTCTACCCTGCTCTCACTGAGCATCATGCTGCCCTATCGTTCACTGCTTCCCTCTTCATGCACTTCAACATGAACACAAAAGAACACATTGATTACCCCACAATATGCTGTTAGTTTTTTAGGTTGCGCTTATCGATTATGCATATCTTCCCATATTTTACACAAGTAACTGCTTCTATTTCCACAGTAAGTACATATATACATATTTTGGTATATTTCAAAGGAGTTATGTTTTAATAGTGTTGCAATATAAATTAATATAGTTGCACCCTACCTGCCCCAAAAAAGTGCTTTAAATCTGCACACATGTGTTTTTTATTCTGCCACAGACCACTTGTACACACTGTCCATGTATAGATGTGTAGTACACACATTTGCCCTTTAGTCATCCTGATCTTAAGCTACTATTAGAGTTTAATTTTGAACACTTTGTGTTCATGTACTCTTCTTCATATCTTTGGTACGTCCAAACACTAAATACACTAAATTTATTGTACATTTCATTATAGTAATACATGTTAATGTACTAATACATTACAAGAAAGATACTGTCAATTGATAATAATGCTGACTTCGGATAATTCACTATGGTTTGAATTTTTATAAATCATAATCAAACAATGATTTTTGAGCCTTTTAACAATTCATTTTTTTTTTACAGCTAGAAATTTGCAACAAGCCGAGTGTCTCTCCTGTCATTCAGTAACTTATCAGTTGCACACCTGGAGGACAATCTGTGTTTATTTTAATGTGCTGAATAAGGTAACAAATGTGACAAGCCAAGTTTAACATTACTGTTAAACCCATCACATTAGAAGTGTAACACTACTGTTAAACCAGTCACATTAAAGTGTAGCATTACTTTTACTTGATCGTAAGGTATCAGTATTCTTTTCCTGGCCACAACTTTATTTCTCATGGTGCCAGTCTTTTCTTTTTAAATCTTGGACAGGAACCCCCCACTCCTGACCTTTTAAGTGCGAATTATAAAAAATAGACTTATTAAAAAAAAAACAGAAAGGAGGACACAGACATACCAAGGTGTCAAACTGCTTTTGTCTGTTTATAAAAATGTTTCTAAACCATTTAGCAAAAATAAGGTGTCAAACTGCTTTTGACTGTTTATAAAAATGTTTCTCTAGCGTTGAGCAGCAACAAGGCGAAAGATGACAAACCCTGAAACAGAACCGAATCTCTTCAGGTGCAGAGTGAGCACGAGAGGCAGAGTGGTGTAGTGGCAAGAGCGCTCCGCCTCCACATAATGGATGCATTCTTCACAGAAATACTTGTTGTTATCTTTCAACCTTTCAATGTTGGACAAGGCCTGCATCAGTTTGTCTAGGCAGGAATCTTCAGACTTCTCTGTGGAAACATCAGTTTAGTCATTGGAAACCTCTATGGGAATGGAAGCAACAACTTTAACATAAGACATCTCTACGGAAGTATCAATTTTAACATAAGACCTCTCTACAGTAGAATTTTTTTAAATAGACATCTCTATGGAAACATCTTTTTAGTTTTTAGCTCTATGGACAACTTGATCTCTTTCTGTGGCAACATTGTGGATTTTACAAGTGGGTTGGACTGAGGTCAACACAACAAGAGAGTTGGGCTGAGGTCAACACAACAAGATGGTTGGAATGAGGATGGACTGAGGTCAACACAAAGACAATTCAAAGACACAAGTGTTGAGAAAACTTATGATTTTTTTATAGTAGATGTTGTAAAATAAAATGACAGTGGGAAAATGGCACATGGTCACAACATGCACAAAATAACAACTATAGATGGGAAAAGAAGTTGTCAACATCTCCCCCCTTTTCATCACTGCCAACATCTCCTGCATTACCTCCTCCCTCCTCATCACTGTCAACATCTCCTGCATGTAAACTCCTAACCGGTATGCTGATGTCCATAAAAACTTCTTGCCTCTCCTTGGCCTTCTCACACTCTAGACACTTTGTGCGATGCATCATGGTCCCACCAAACAGATGATCAACAAGGGTGTTTGTTTTAGGCCTGGTCACATCATCTGAAGGAATAGTAAAAGTAGTTTTAAGGTTTTTTTTATTCAAAGATGTTTAGGAGATGCTTAAAAGTTATAGGTTTGGCCAGGACTGTGAGTTGACATCTTTAGCCTGTTTGTACAGGACTTTAGGGTGGTCACATTTAGGCTGTTTGTATGGGACTGTGGAGTTTTCAACTTTAATATGTTTGGCCAGGACTTTGGGTTTATCACCTTTAGAGTGGGGCTGAGCTCACACTTGTACAAAATCAACATTTTCAAGAATAATCCCCACCAGAATTAATGAGATCAGAGAGGCACAAAATTGAAGCACCGTTAACCAGTGAGATCATAAGCACAAAGTATCAATTAGTGTTCTTATCATTTAGGAGAAAAAAAGATGACCCTATAATTTCAGTGAACTATTTGTTCATTAAATAAAATATTATCCCAATGCACTATCCCCGGTTAATACTGTCACAAACTATGAAGAAATGTAGTAAGCCTCATATATTCATACAAACTTCTTAACATATTTAAGTTGTTCTATTGAAAAACTTCAGTTTCATGGTTTAAATATCAACATTGATTGAATGAAATATTATTTAATTCTAAGATGATAATCTGCTCAAAATTTGACATTGGAAGAATCACTTAGCAGTTGGGGCAGATGATGACTACAATAATTACTGTGCCCATTCCTACCAACATGGATAACAATGCTATACCTGAGTTAGCTGCCTTGATCTGTTCACTGACTAGTGTCTTTGTTGAGAATTGTCTCTCACCCCTGGACCGCCTTGCAGCTACACATTTTTTCATGTCCACCATGGCCTGCTTGGCACTGACCTTACTGCCCGCCCCTGGTAACAAGAGCCAGTCGCAATTATCTAAAGAGACAGATAATTTCTTTAGCAAACTGCCCTTTGAGAAGCCGACGAGGTCTATGGGACACGAGTCCTTCTTCAAGGGCTCTACCTGAGTGTGTGACTTTCTGTCACTATCTGTTTCATTGGGCTGAGACTTCCTTTTCCTTGACCTGAGACTCACAGTCAATGAATTGATTGAGCTATATTCTTTCCGTTTACGTGCTGAATTTCTTGATGATGAACCCGCATTATCCGCACAATGATAAGAATTTTCCTCAGAAGGCTCACTCTTAATGTCCACTAGTTTTGGGTGGTTCTGCCGTAAGGTCTGCACCATATCTTTGTTTTGTTGCTGTAGACTCGGCACCACATTTTTGTTCTGCTGCTGTGGGGTTTGCATCACATCTTGTTTCTGCTGCCATGGACTCTGCACTACATTTTTACTAAAGCTGCCATCATCATCATTCTGAAAAATGTTCCTCCTCACCGCCGCTGTTGTTCCAACAGCACCCCTGGGTCTACTCAAGGTTAACACTGACAGTGCCTCTTTGGCGCTGACAGATTTAACGGGGCTGACGCCGAGCCAATCACATTTCTTCAAACGAAGCTGCAACTCTCTGGAAATCTTGCAGGTTAAGGATTTATCCTGGACATCACAGGCGAAGCCGCACAAGTTTTTCATCTGAGAACTGAACACGGAGCTAACCGGTGTGCTCGGTGCCGAAAGACTTTGTTTCTTGTTTCTCATCCCACGCTGCGGAACTTTCTGCATACTGTCATAACCTGGTGATGTCGTATGGCTGCCATCTGACGAAAGATGCAAGAGCCGAGCGGTTTCATCCACTGTGCTTTCAGGGTTTGTTGATGCACGCAGAGACTGAGCTACTGCCTCACCCACCTCCTCTGACCCTGAAGCAGAACTATGCATGGGTGTCAGGTCCCTACCGGGTGTTTTGGGGGAGGCCAACCCTCGATCGTCGTCACTTACTTTATTATGTGAGTGAACTGTGACATGCATTTCTTCTAAAAAGTTGGGCGACTCCGATGAAGCACTTTTGTTTTCAGTTGACGCATCACCCGTGGGTTCCTCAACAATTAATTTGATGCTGGGAAATGTCTGGGTGTCCGGCGTAAAATGGCCCACGTCTGGCAAAGCTGGTTTTGATGGTGGGGACGTCTGCACGCGTGCTGGAGAGAGAGATGAAAAGTATTTCTTCGTTACAGAATCAATCGCAGATTCAAAAAATGAGGAACTGCATTCTGGGACGATGGAGATCTCATCCACAACCTCGACCATTCTGGGGGATTTCGAGGGCGAGTAAACATAAAGTTTTGTTGGTGACGACGTGACAGGCCTCAGTTTTTTAACTGGCAGCTCTGATGGTTTGGGGCTATCCCCGTCACTGACTATTTCTATGGGAAGATCTGCTGAATCGTTCAACAAGTCATTCCCTTTTTTGTTGGTCTCACAGTCATTCTCATTGTTGTTGTTGTCATCACCACATCTGTCGATGTTATTGTTCAGACTTTTTTCACCACCGTTCGTGCTGTCACCGTTACTGAAATGTTGACCCGAGGTCATAGGCAAGGCATGGCTGAGGATGTCAGTGTTACCTCTAACAGCCAAACATTTCATTTCACTAAATGGGAAGATGGGATTAAGGCTGGGCTGAGAGGTGACAGCGCTTTGATGTACTGAACTCTTTGACTTGTGGCTTAGAGTCGTCACTTTCTCCTGTAACGAAGGCCTTCCTTCTGCCCTGCTTTCAACAGGATTTTCCTTGAGTTCACTGTTTCCATTATCCACAGATCTCATAAATTTTACTATGGACCCGTTTCTCAGAGAAACAACACTGTTGACCTTGACTATTGTATTATGGGTCACACTTCCTGCTCTGGGACTATTTAAGGTCGGGGAGGAAGAAGGCTGATCTGATTTGCCCTGGCTGCCTGATCTTGATCGCTTCCTTTTTTGTTTACTTGATGGCGCAGACGTTAATAAATTAATTTTGGTGTCCCCTACCAGTACGCTCTCAATTTCTAGTCCAGGGTTTGGACTAGGAACGGGATTTGATAAATTGTTTACTTCACAAACGGCCAAATTTTTGGAATCATCATTTAAGTGCCTAGGGGTAAGAGCACTGGACGTCGATCTTCCCCGGCCTCTTTTCATCTCTTTCCCTGGGTCCTTTCTTCGACTGTCCCCACCTTTCAAGGTCACTTCCCCTTGTGCATCCCCTTTAGGCTGATGTGCGCCTGACCCATCTGTTAGACTTCTATCACAGCAAAATGGGTTGGGGACTGTGACCAGGGTATTATTTGTTTTGATTCTGTCCTTAGCCCTCAGCACCTCCTTCTCAGCATCCTCAACATAACAGAGCAGGCAGCGCAGCAGTTCCTGGGCATCGTGCTGAAAGTGACCTTCAAACATGGGATTCAACTTCCTGAAATGAAACGATGTATACAAACTAATTACTATACATCGCCAGTGTCCAAAGGTGTAAAAAAATTAATATTTTAATGACCATACTAGATCTCAAAATGATTTAAGCACTAAGTAAAAATGTATGTTTAAAATTTGTAGTTTACTACAAAAAATTGAAATTCATTATCATTTTCAAACAAAATTATTAAAATTTCTCATGATCAATTGATTAACATTTCAATAGTATTTGAACAATTTTATTGCCTATAGCTTGGCTGAATAGAACAGACTTTGCATACCTAATAATTTCAAGGAGTGCACTAGGCCCGACAGCCATGCTGGAGGCATCGGAGGTGGCCAGTTGATTATACTGCCGCTCTCTTGATTCCATCTCTTCAAACATCTATACCAGAATAAGAAAAAAATTCAGTACACCGTAGCCAGCTCTACCTCTTACCAAGAGGTCATTGGAGAGTCAAAAATTTGTCCAAGGGTCAACCCCAGCCTATGGCCATATATAGCTGAGTGGAATATACTTCAATTAATGCTGAGCCACTCAACTAGTAAAACCCTCCCAACCTACCATCTTACAAACAAACACCCTCTCAACCTACCATCTTTCCAAACAAACACCCTCCCAACCTATCACCTTCCAAACAAACACCATCCCAGCCTATCACCTTCCAAACAAACATCCTCCCAACCTACCATCTTTCCAAACAAACACCTTCCCAAACTACCACCTTTCCAAACAAACACCCTCCCAAACAAACACCCTCTCAACCTACCACCTTTCCAAACAAGCACCCTCTCAACCTACAACCTTTTCAAACAAACACCCTCACAACCTACCATTTTTCGAGCAAACCCACTGACCCACCTACCTTCAACCAACACACGGAGCCAACCACCCATTCCAACCTATCACTGTGTTTATAATAAGTCATCTCTATTTCCCCTTGTACAAGACACATAGAACAACCAAAGTTCATGAATCTGCTTCCACATCTTCCTAATCTAAAACCATGTCTCCACCAATCCTCTTAAATTTAACAGTCAGCTTATAAAGCAATACTCTTGTTATATTTTCCCTTTCAAGATATTTGGTGCATAAATAATAGTATTGCTGTCATTGGCAGTGCACACTAGTTAAAACCTATTTGTCTGCATGTCTACCCCCCCCCCCGACCTGATATTATAACTCAATACCAAGTACAAGCACTTACATGGTGTGTGTTTTTCACCAACTGCCACACAAGTTGTGTGCCATCACTGACACAGTCTGCATCCTGTCAACCGAAAAAAAAAGAAGATGAAAATATCTTTTAACTGGTAGACTAATATGGCAAGAGTAACAAATTCAACTAAAAAAAAACATTTACTTCATTTATTGCTTTCGGTTGCCTGTTAGCAGTTTCAGACCTGACTACCCTGGAACTCCCAAAGCAGTGCGGTTTCATTTTAGAATAGTGCTTCACTATGTTAAAATTGTAGAATAGAGTTTCATAATAGTAAATAAGCATACAGTAAAATGTATACAATAAATTGCTTGCATGACATGTCTAAAATAGTTACTTTCTCAAGTAGATAAACGATTTTTATATATTTATATACAGTGCCTCATTGTAAATAAAAATAGGCCCGTCATAGCCACTTTCACTAATGGAGATGGGGGGGAGTCCCCCCCAAGGCAACCCGCCAAAGTCTGATGAGTGAAAGTGGCACAAATTGAGCACAGGCTGCCATAAATTAAACTCAGTCTGTCATAAATTAAACTCAGTCTGTCATAAATCAATCAGTCTGTCATAAATCAATCAGTCTGTCATAAATCAATCAGTCTGTCATAAATCAATCAGTCTGTCATAAATCAATCAGTCTGTCATAAATCAATCAGTCTATCAGACTATCAAACCTTGGGCTTAGGCACAACAAAAGTTTGAGTTTGTGAATGTTCCCCGTTTTTACTATGTCTACTACCTCTTGAAGTTTCTCCACACTTTCAATATCCTGTCACAATCGTTGTTAAGGACTTGTATGTGTTTTGTCATTGTGTGATGGTTCGGAGAGTATCTGGGTAGCTGTTGTGATTCATATTTTTGAGATGTATTTTACGTAAGGGGAAATGACGTTGTGAATGTTGCTGTGGTGTGGCACGACAGCAGTGCTGAAGTGTTAGATTTTATGAGTTGTATTATATTTAATAAAGAGATGTTTGATCTAAGAATCAATGGTTTGTTGAGTAATTGTAACCCCTAGACAATGAAGCTATAAATATGTAACTTGGTAATATCGGGTTCGTAACAGTCGTCTATTTACCTCTTGAAGTTTCTCCACACTTTCTATATCCTGTGTCAATCCTCTGATTCCATTAAGAAAGCCGGGGGTAAATCGTAGGACTTCCAGCATACTGTTTAAAAAACAGGTATTTCCTGTAATTTGGCAAAATAGTTGAGAGAGTTTCATCATTTTTATACACAAAATACCAACAATAATAATTGAAATTAACAATAATATTGAGCGTTTGATTTCATTTGTGTACTTATAAAAGTACAAAAATCGATGCTATAAAATGCAGTAAAATAAATGAAAAGCTTCAACCTAAAGCACGGATTTAACCAACTGGAGGAAAGTGCTTGCCTAGATTGTGCAAGGAGGCCACAGGCGGAACCAGTGGGTCAGAAGAAGAAGAAGGGAGATCTGCCATAAGGTCGGCACTTTCAATTGTTGATCCTCTGAAATAACAATGCACAAACATATATCTTTAAAAAGGCTGTCAAGTCTTGAAGCTTAAAGGGCTAAATCAAATAGTAAGCTATTTGTTCATTAAGCCAGCAATTCCCGAACTTTTAAGTTTGACGGACCAGTGTACACGGTTTTGAAATTGTACCAAGGACCTGTGCCAGATATATAATTATATTTTCTTTTTATTAGACCATAAATATTCATGTTGTGCGAACCAAAAAAGTAGTGTTAGTGAACTGGTGCAGATCCACGGACCACCATTGGGAAACGCCCCTTTAATCCGATCTTGCCCCAAACTGCAAGTAAATGACCTGGGAATGACACAGCAATTTCTAGAATTTCTTCTTTGGATGGTTCTAATTTACTACTTATGTATATAAGCCGGCAGCTTTCTTAGAAGGGCAAGATTTTTGCTTAATTTCCTAGATATATTCATATAATATAAGAGACGTAAAACATTTATAAGATCGTACTTGTAATTTGCGTGTGTGATTTAATATTTGTATCCTATTTGATTTTGTATATTTATATAAACATAACAGTGCCATTTAATAAATATTGTTAATAACACTAGCTTTGGTATCATTTTTCTTTGCATGCTGTTTTTTTCTCTCCAGTTCTTTGTCATGTATTGTTCATTTAATGAGCCAAATCTTACAACATTAAATTTTCAAAAACTACATAATGGTAAGTAACGAAGTGGGGGCTCATACTGGATTTTACCCATTTTTTTATTACCGTCACCATAAACCAATTGTTTTCACTGTATCATTTAATGATAACACTACTAGAGCTGGTTACAAACTTTTTACTTTTATATCTGTGGTCAGTAAGTTTATCAATTTATGAAATATATTTTAACAATTTACCTTTGTCAAAATGGACTTTGATGTAAACAACTAATCAGTAGAGACATTAGACTAATGAGTTAATTTCCTATACAAAAAATTGAAAAAGAAAGTTGATCCACTTAGTAGATGAAGATATTTTGTCTGAGGAAGCAAATGAAACTAGACGGTTTAGAGAGAAAAGAGAGCTCAAGCAAATGGAGCTATGTGCTCAAAAGCAGAAAGAGGAAGAAGAAAGAGAACTGAAGCAAATCGAGCTATGTACTCAAAGAGAGAAAGATGAAAAAGATAGAGCACTAAAAATAAAAGAAATGGCAATTATGAGAAGCCCAGTACAATGGAAAATAGACCAATGGCTTCCACCAGTCAGGGTTATGATGCAACTAAATTTGCAAAGTTAACCCCTAAATATGAAGTTATTTAGATCGACCAGTATTTTTCACAGTTTGAAAAAACTGCACAAAATGTTTAAATACCATAAAATCTTTTGTCTACTTTATTGCAGCCTTATTTGACTGGTCGGACAGCCGAAGTTTTTGTGTCCTTGAATGCTAAAGAGCGAGGGGACTATGAGCTTGTAAAGCCATTTATACTTATGGCTTACGAAAGTGTCCCCGAAGCATACTGTCAAAAGTTTAAGGAGTTGTTTAAACATGATGACAAAACTCACATCCAGCTTCTACCAAAAAAGGAAAGACTGCTGAACAAGTGGCTTCATGCAAAGAACATTGAAACAGACTTCAATCCATTCAAGCATCTAGATTAGATGGAAGATTCAAGACTCGTGATACAGTGGATGTATGGACACATATTGCAGTTTGTGGTGAAGATGATGTGCATTAGGCAGCAGTGTTGGCAATGGTTGTAAACTATTTAAATCTAGATTATTTTAATTTTTTTGACAATTTTAATTAAAATGCTCTATAAAAATCTATAATCTATATGCCTGTAGGTGGGTTACCGCAGAATTAGGTCAAGCGGATGTTAATAAGATATTTCTAAATCCTGAACTTACATTTTCTTAGCTGATTCTGAAATAGTTTGGGAATCAGCTACTTTATTTATATTGGCTTCAGGATCTGTTGAATTGTCCTTAGACTCAAGCTTGCGGTATCCACGCAGACTGAGTCGGGGTCTCTTACGAACAGGGCTGTCCACCTCATTAGGCACTCCCATAATGTTCTTCCTGTAGCCCAGTGCTTGTGTGACTTTTCATCAGTAAATTTGATCTAAAATAAACAAGTAGCATTTGTGTGTAACCGTTTGAACATTTTCTAGGTTTAATATCCAGAAATCCTCAAGACAAAAGACTGCACCATATATAATAGTGGCAGCAATACTAACACTCTTTGAACAGGATTTGCTGTGCAGAAAGAAGCCCTTGATGCAGTTATAAATTATAAACCAGAGAATGAAAGATTGTGCGCTTTG